GAATTATTTATTATTTTAGAGAGTAAAAAGATTACGTAATGCTTTCAGTCTGCACATTGGTACTTTCTTTTTTTAACATCTGTGTCGATTATAAGAAACTAAAAGAAGGAATACTTGGATCTTGGACAATAACGCTACGAGTTACCACGACGTACAAAACATTTGCGGGTGTTACAAATCAGGCCCTTCCCCTCGAAGCTAGGGGTTGTCCTGGAACTAAGGCTGAATCGTTTTCCAGGATGTATCGAGTGGTCATTATTTTCCGAATCGAAATTTGTCCGTTTCAATAAGCGTTTGCGACTGCGTTCTCCGGTCTTTTTTTTGCATGTTCGGACCCAGTCTTATTTGACCTTCACATTTAATATTCGATCGCTTCTCTTAGACAATAATTTGGAGTTCACTATATATGAGTCACATTTCCATTTCTCTTTATCTTTATTGTAAATTGAATAATCCTTAGAATTGGGACAAAATAATTTATAATACATAAACAATATCCAAATCCGTATACCAAAGCATTGTAATTTAAATATGCTATTGCAAAATCACTTACTCATAAATTTAGAATGGAAACGTGAACTTCACGATTGGCTTCTCATATGGCGCAGGATCTGTTGTTCTGGCCAGGCCTGTGGCGCAAGAGGATCCTCGTTTCGCCAGGAATCTCGTCTGGCTGATAGTTAGTCGCGTATCGCAAGCGTGTTCGTGCAAATGTCACGGGACGAGCGTTGCCGATGCGGCAGGGAGAATTATTCATTCAGCCTTGCAGGTATCTTCTCTTTTTATGATAATCGCCGATACAGTGATGGCGCGAAATCGACGCTTCAGGGATTTTATAACCACGAAGCGAGACGTGCGTACCTTCCGTCCAAGGTGGACAAGAATTTTTTTCTTCTTTTTTGGTTGACGTTTTTAATGGATGCAAACAAATATGTCTCTATGCTTTTTTTGAGCTATCTGCATGTTTACTAACTCCATTATTAGTATGCTTTTGTATATGCCATTAATTGTTTGTTTTTTGTCAGAACTTGTGTTCATTTTTGTATGAACATTCAGAATAAACTCAAGTAAATCAGGTAATGCAGTTATGTTAATCTGGGACAGAAAAAGAGAAAGAGAGGAAACCTTTTTTCTCTTGGTAGGATTTGAAGCGGTAATAGGGTGGATGCGTGCGAGTATTCGCGGGAACGAGGTGCTCTTATGCGGCACAGTTCTAAAGATACACTTAAAATGCCTCTGTAAATGCCAGGCTGATTCTCGGGGATATAAGAGGAATACGAATAATCTTCTTCTCCCTCTCGGTGTACGTAGTTTGATAATGACACGGCGGTGAATAGTAAACGAGGTTTAGTACTGCCGTTGACCTGTAAAAATCTGCTCCCGCTTGCCTCGACGAGGGTTAAGGAAACGATTTATAAACCGAAGATGCGCAGACTGTTGCTTCTATCAAAGCGCAGGCTGTTCAAAATAATTTCAACAGGAAATTTATGACACAAGCATCGAGTAATAAAAAATGAATAATAATCTTCTAAGCATTTTCGTTATAGACATGCACACAGTTTATAAGTTACAAGATATTTTCAAAAATGTTTATAAAAAATCTGACATTTATTCCAAATTAGTAATCACCAGAGACTATTTTAATTGAAAGATGATTTAATTTTAGAATTATGCAAAAGTTATGAAAATTATACACATGAATTATCTGGTGAACGGATTTGACATTTTAATGAAACATCAATAAGATTCGATAATGTGGTAAGAATTTTTAACGGGATGTCGAAGGATCCGTTAGGTGGTAGTGCAAGTGGCACCACATTCACAGATACCGCGGACTCGTTATCAATCAGTCGTATACGTAAACGGTGTCGCGTTCAATATTGACGCGTGTGTAATTCGTGCAAATGCGTCGCATCGTAAACACAAATTGTTAGGATGCTAATAGATCATGGTTCGTTGGCCACGGATAACACCGTGTCCAGCATTGTATCGATTCCCGGCGGGAATGTGTGAAGTCGTTTGTTACGTAGAACATTTAATAGAAAAAATTTTAATCGTACGCTTGAACAAATGAAACTATTATGGTCAAAATGCTCGTGCCAAACTTTAATTTGTGTGATGATTGCAGCTTTTTGTTCATTCGAATTCTGTCCAATGTTAAATATTTTATATCAAACAAGATTTCGAAGTGGTTTGTTATTAATTCATTTGTGAAAATAGATTTATTATTAAATTAGTTTATTTATACGTATTTTAAAATAAAAAAAATTGTATCTCTATTGATACTGAACAAGAAAAATTTATATACTAAAAGCTTACAGAAATATTTACCGGTTTGTCATAAATAATTCAAAATCTCTATTTTATATTGTATCAAATTTCTATAAAAAAGCGATGACACAATATGAAATACTGAAGTTCGTTTTACTCTAAACTAGCTTTCGACTAATTATGTCCATTTGAATTAACAAGACAGTGGAGACGTTTGGCACGAGTGTGACGAATAGCAAAGTCGCAAGTAATTTAATAAGCGAACTGCTCCAGTTATCATTGTAATAGGGAGCGATTAACTTGGTCGCATTCCCGCGCACCCGTAACGTGGATAGCTGTTTACAAACTTACTTCCTAGCCGTAAAATATCTGTTCGTTTGTCTTTCGATAAAACTAACGTTTGCTTTTCACGACTGCATGCAGCTACTAATTTAAATTCATGAATCAGGTCTGTGAACGACCTCGAGAACATAACGAAGTTCAGTTGCAAGAAAAATATATTTTACCTACGTTATGTTAAACGTTCTATATTTATACTTGTCTTATTATATGTATAATGTAGAAAAATTGATGGAAAATTGGAACGAAAAATACGCCGCGATAGCTAAGATTATATGATTGACAGTGACTCGACGACTACTAGCTATCAGCTTCATTAGATAACAAACAATATTTGCTTTCAATTCGATAAAATGGAACAAAAAACTGCGATCATCTTTTATCTTTACTTGAAATTTTGTCAAATGAATATTTGTAGTTTTTGTAATTCCCAATTCGATCGTTCTAAAATTTGCAATGGAACCACGATTTTCTGTTGTACGAAGAAAAGAATAAATCGAACTATACGGTATAAGAGCAGCTGACACAAATGCGCACTCGTACGATTCCGTTCTAAATGTATTTCCCGTTCTCAGCGTCTCATTTTATACGGTTTTACAATTTTCTTCCGTTTTACTTATATCGTAGAGGCAAAACATCGCGTTACTGATAACAAGATAGACAACCGATCCAGGTTCATGTGTCACGTACTTGCATGTAGATGATAAAAAGCCACAGTGTTTTTATTTGTTACATGTACGTGCTAATCACGTTTGCGATAAAGTAGTACGAGTTCATTATCAACCATAAATAATCAGACTAATTTAAATGATATAATTTATTTCTTGAAACGATTCGGAAATTATTATACACAAATAATACGTGTATGTTTGAAATTAATTCAAAAGGAAAAAGGACAGCAATATTATTAAGATTATAGTTCTTGTAAACAGCAACTATTTACTGATAATTGAACAACTTGTAAATAATCTGAATATAAAAAAATCATGCAAATGTTTCGCAACGCAATAGATTCCGAGAATGTTTAATGGAAAGTTCTGTCAATGATGCTCTCTGAACTCATTCGTCAGAAATTTTAGTACTCGAGCGAAGATAAGCGACAGATCGTGTAAAAAATGTACTGCGCATCAAACGTTAGCTCAGAAAATACGCGTTTACAGACTAGTGCATTTGAATTCAATTTGATACTTAATCAATCGAAAGGATTCATCTTGTTTGTTCAGCTGCATGATCATACAAATTCTGACAAACGTCGAATTAAACAGTTTGAGTGTTTTAATAATTAATATGTAGAACAGTATGTCTTGATCTAAATTTAAAATTAAACACGATAAGAATTGTATAATCTTCTAAAAATGAAATGTTTGAAGAATTTCATCAAAACAGTATTAATTTACTTTTATGTATTTTAAATCCATTCTCCACGCTTTAAATGAAAACTGTGAAGACGGAAGATTCGTTTGACTAACAAGTCACGTAGAGCCGTGACGGTATCGTTGATTTAGTTTGGAATTAGTGCAACAAGTGTGCAGCGGCAACAAGTGCAGCGGTGATTGGTACTGCAACGTTGGCGGTTGCTCGCGTTATCTTCTGCCGTCTTGCAACAAGCGTCCAGTCAGTGACCCATAACAATTAGTACCGTGGGGGAAAGGGAGAGCCGCTGCCAACAGAAGGGGAATGTTGATTAACGGAAGTAGAATAAACTTGCGTGATCCGGTAGGGCAGCCCATCTGGACTTCTTGACCCTCGGCCTCTTCTCTTTCGCTCGCGTTATTTTTACACCGTCGAGCTTCTAACTCTGATTGTGCCAGTTAATTGGTTGAACGAGAATAATTCTTTCTCTGAACATCCCCAACCATTTAAGTTCGGACAGTCTATCGTTTAGAATGAATTTTGTATTCATGCATGTTAATAGTATTTATCGTTTACTGAAATATATATATATAGTTTAAATATTTATCAGAATATTGGCAAATATTGACATAATGAAAACAGCGTAAACGTGTAACGATATTTATATTTACATGAGTCTATACATATAAAGTGCGCATAAGTTACATGACACATTATACCATCAACGTAATATCAGCACAACGACATAATAATGCGACGCTATCATTCAACAACATAACGATGCGTGTACGAAGCTATAATCTAGCAATATCAGCATATCTATATTAATAAACCAACCGATGCGCAACAACAAACGCGTCGCACTTTATCCCCTGTATGATCGCAGTTTATTCAATCGTCGACGAATTACTTATTACAAAGCGAATAGAAATCAGATTTCAATGGATGGAACACAAGTCTGTAAACTGTGAGGTAACATTAATGAAAGTTTTCACATATATGAGCGAGCATTGATAAAATCGACAAAATAACTAAGAATCCAAGATATCTTCAAAGAGGAGAAAGAGACTGCAAAAAGTTCATGGAGCCTTCTGTTTGGGTTCGACAAAATAACGACGAATCCAAGGAGAAATGAAAGAGGAAAAGGAACAAAATGATAAAATATGAAACAATAAGAAATGCGTGCATCTTTGTCTCGATAGGGTCGTCGCGTTGTGTAGGTTTAAACGAAACCGTTTAACCAATGTCAAGCGTCGAAATGCGACCGATCGGAGAGAACGAAGTGCACGTGCACGAGTCAATGAGTAATCCCGCGAATATTTCGAGTATATTAACGATAAAGTCGGGACTCAGTTTTATCATGTCATATCTAGTCTTCCTTTCGGGTAACTGTCATTTCTTGAAATGTCAAGATGCTGGCAAATGCTAATATGCGAAAGAGTCAGACGATTCTCGTTCGTCAAGAATTTTAAAGCCGGATGTTTAACCATTTTCTCATAAGAATTGGGTAAAAAGTTTGGTATAAAATTATCTTTATATTAAAACCTAAAAAGATTTTCTGCATTCATTACAATATTATCAGAAATTGTCTGTCTATTGTTATTCCATTTATAGCACATATGATGTAAAATCGTTTGTGACTTTTGCGTGCGTCATGCACAGAACAAGCAGTTGGGAAGGAAAATAGATCACGACCAGGTTGGACGGGATCGCGGATTCTATTTACGAATTGCGTGTCTCCCTTTCTAAATCCGTCATACGATTGCAATGCGGGGTATGAAGGGAACACGTCATTTTCATCTGCGC